TCGAGAGGGGGGGGGGGAGGAACAGAAGAGTTTCAAAGACGAAGTTAGAAAAGGTAGGAAAAAGGTTAGGTGGGTACTGTGAAAGATGTCGAATATGACATACAGTGGGGTGATGGTAATTTGAAGTCAGAAGCCAACTGCCGGTTTAAAGACTTTTTTGCCGTATGAGTATACGTTGCCCAGGGTGCACCACGTGGAGGTAAGTCTACCGCACACCCCAGAAGTTGAACTAATAGAGCGCCCAAAGAAATCTCGTAATCCAAGCCGCACATCGTATAAAACGGCATAAATGTAGTTCAAGAACACCCAATTAGAAAAGTGTTCTCGTGAAAGAATAAGGCTTGACAATAACACTGCATAACAGCAATTTTCGTCCCCCAGGAGACCGATTGCGATGCTCTATTAAAAACCCTTACAAACACTATTAATTTGCTTAAATTATACAGGCACTCAAAATTTTCGTTAAGCATCTCCTCAGAAATCTCATTAGCTAGAATCGTCTCGGACGCGTCAATGGTGAGATTAAGGATTCAAGAAACCGTCAATGATTGTAACTGAAAATGGCCCAATTAAGAGACAAATTTAAACAATAGGACCAAATGAAGTAGAGCGTCAGCTCCTAATCGATGGCTACTTGAACTACATATCCCAATTACTGGCTTCAAACTCGACTAAAACCCAGCCGTAAAGGTACCGATCAATAAACCAGAATGAAAATTTCTAAACGGAACTCGGAAACTCCAATTGCATTCTCTGTAGTTATGCGTTTATTAAAACTATTAGAGAAATCCCAAGAACCACTAAAGAGAACCGAAATCGGAAGCACCGCATTCATTAGAGGACTGAAACCAGATTCATCTCAAGATGAAACGAGCTAATAGAAACGCAAAGCCCTCACTTGTTATTGTAAATCGAGTGCAAGCTACTTACAAAAATGGAGACCTCATCTCTCCCTCCGAACACCCTAAAGCGAAGTTTAAAGTCAAGTGAAATGTCGAAAATTCCAAACTCAACAACCTTCTGATCTCCAAGAAAAAAATATGCCAAGACACAAGAAGTATATAAGATTTCCAACAAGTATAGAAGGACTGAGTTCAGATTAAGCACAATGTGGAATTGCAGAGGCTTACTTGTTATCAATGATCAGGTGGTAGGCTACACAGAGTTGGTCACTGGGATCATTGGCAATGAGGGCTGCGAACACTTCCCGTTCAGTCACATTGCACGCCTGACACACTTCGTAGACAGCCTCCTGCAATAAGGTTAAAGTTCAAAGTAAATACACAGAAAAGGATATGCTCATATAGATGAAGTGAATTCTTCTGCGGTGCAACGATTGCAAAAATACAACTAAGTCGATGCCGAAGTAGATTCATGAATTTGACTTCCACCAAATATATCAACTATAAGGCAGACGTGAAGAGAGGGAGAGAGTGTGGCAACTGTGCGTAATTACTTCAGAGCAAGAGAAATCAATTTCGGGATTATCAAACTTCATATTGCCTTGCTGAAAGTTGTACACATTTTAGTGCTACTGCTACCTTAGATGGGAGCTGTAAATGATAATTCCTGATCAAATGAACCAAATGAAGCGTATAACTAATCGAATTTTTACATTTTTCACGTTTTCTTCCAATTGCAGATCTACAGAAAATCGATATATTTGTTGTTTGCATTAGAGCAACAATTGGTACAAGACCAAACTTCTCGAAAATTTAAATCACTAGCAACAACCCGAAAAACACGTTCCTTTATCATGAACCAATAAGCAAGGTGAAAGCTCTATCGGGAAGGGTAAAGGCAATTGTTAGACAATTTGATTTGGGCAATTTCAGGCATATAATGACTCCATTTATATTCATCAATAGCGTTGGCTGCATACTGATTAGAAAACGGTAGAAAATTGGAAAATTGAGAAGCCGAGGCAAATTGAAGGCGACTTCAATTATGCCTAAGTTAATTAACTACAACGATTTGGGAGTAAAAAGGAGGGGGGGGGAGGCAAGTAGTAATAGGATGGTAAGTAACAATATTGATCCACCTAGAACAAAAATTAATTCATATTCATAACTTCTAAAAGTCATTTGTGCTACAGGTTTTCCCACGTGAAAAGTGCAATTTCGTTACCTTCTTTCAGGAGCAAGAAGTAATAATAATAATAACTAAATCGAAATTAAAGGCAGAGAAGCTTCAATTGAAGAAGGAATATGCCTTCTTACTGACTATGACAAAGTGCCATGAAAAAAACAACAGTTTATTCGTTTAATTGCCCGAAATTAAGCAATCTTAAACATCTCCTTTCAAGTGTCTATGTACTTTTCATTTTTAAAGCGTTCAGCTTCTATCACATGGGGAGTAAATAACAAATTCGAGGGAAAGAATGGCCACATCTAACTGGGTGTGGACGTGGTGTCGAGCACGTTGAGAGCCAAAAATAGGCTCCAGTTGCGCCACAAACAGGACTATTTTAATTGCAGCAAGATGTCATCCACTATCCTGCTATACTGGAAACCGTGACGTTAATAATGCGCCCACTCTATTTATACGGACTCAAAACAAAGTGAAGACTTACTCCAAGGAATGTAATTAAAGGAGTCAAAAAAACTATTTAAGGTGGCCCAGTCATTTCTTCATTCCTATTATTTTTAAAGCATTACTTTGAAGAAATATTGAAAAACTCCTATCTTTGTTATATAGAACATATAGATATCGGAACCGTTCAACTTCATTACGACTGAACTGAACAATCAACTTATTCTAGAAATAAGAATTTTATTTGAAAACTATTAATTCAGCTTTATCCAAATCTCTGCTGTATCAAGGCTCAATGCTTGAAAGCAGCAATACAATAATTTCGAAGTAGTCACTTAATACCACAGAGCCTCTGAGAAGAAATTCATAAACCAACATCCCTCTATTGACCACTTTCAGTCACTATGTGGTTGTTTATGCAGTTCAGCGAACTTGCGCCGATTATTAGAGAGCCCATGATCTAGAGAGCTTTGTGAATGTGCACACTGAATGCCATGCTAGTGAAAGAAGCAAGCACGTGTGTATTTTAGAACGATGGATACGAATGGATGAACAATAGGCTAAGAACGACCTATGCATGACCGATCATAAGACAGTTTTCTCGATTAGAAAATCTCCAAGACATCTCTACCACAAATCCAATACAAAGATTCATAAAAGAACCCCCCTAAAATAAGAAATATATATAAACATTCGATCAAATGGGGTCATTTACCTTCCATCGCTAGTTTAACGAAAACAGGGGTCTTGATAAGTTCTCTTACTTTCATAATAACAAATATGAGAGAAAGCGCAGAAAAGGTTTTTCATCAAAATGGCTTCCACTATTAATTCCAAGGGAGGGGGGGGGGTAGGATTGTATTAGAGCCTAATTAGCTTTCAAGGGAGCCCGAAATTCCACGAATTTAATAATAACACAGAGCAAAGCTAACCTCAGAAATTTACTCAGAATTCTGCAAAACAAAGACCACATTATTTAGTACATTTTATGAATGAATAACAACTATTCGTCAACTTAAATTGTCACGGATAAGAGATTATCATTAATATTTTTCGAGAATTACTTTAATATTCTTACAATATTATCAGGGCGCAGGTAAAAAAGTTATATCAACCCTGATAAATTATGCGGTAATTGAAGTCAAACAATTTGAATAAATTAGCAAATTGTTATTTTGGTAAACATAATGGAGAGTAATACATTGAAATTCGCCCCCAAGATTTCTTCATTTACAATAAAGTAAGCATTTTATTAAAAAGAGTGATCAAACCCATCAGTTAAATTTGCCCATTAAAGAGGATGGCAGAATTTGAGCATCACGCCAGGGGTTACATAGCGCCACCCCTCTGTGCAAGATGTCTATTGGAAAGCTTACTCCTAGAATTGCTTTGATGATGTTAAAAATGGTCAAGACCATGTAGAAATAGATCTCAATAAGGGCAATAAAAGGAGTCTTGATATTTAGTTCAGACTGATGGAAATAAGAAAATGTAAATTAACACCCATCATTGACAAAATTTGCAAATTTGTTAAAATGCGCCTAATTGAATGGCCATTGCCTTGGACAACTTTGGAGTAAAGTTTACCATTAGGTGCTACTATTGTGGTCTGGCATTTGCAGGCTGTTTTGAGAGAATATTAAGAGGCTGTAAAATCCCATTGGTACGTTAGGAAGACAAACAAAAGCCCACATGTACAATAAGAAAAGAGTTAGTGGAATTATACATTCACGGAACACTTATTTCAATTTAAAATGGTCTCAAAAGTCAACACCACTTTTCAGAAAGAGACATACCTCTGATGGTTTTCCCAGGTCACATGATAACTAGGTCGATCCAACTTCAACAGTCAACGTGACTCACACAGCAAATGAAGCCAGGCAGCCTCTCTAATCTTGCCTTGTTTAGCAGTTTAGACTTGTAACCCAGCTCATCTTTCCAAAACTTCCTTTCCTCCTCTTTGTTTCCTCTATACCAACTCAATACACCCTAACAAATCAATTTATTTTTGCTTTCGAAAAAGATTTTTTTCCAATTTGCAATGTCACCTCTAAACCTAAGTCAATCAACAAATTTTTACTTTAGATTATTGATGAATACGCAATCTCCTGGATACAGTCTACTATATTTTAGTTTTAAATGGCTAATATTGACTAGTGTGAAAAGTAATTAAAATCCACATTCTCGAATAAATGTCTAATCTGGTATATAAGTGTGGCATAAATAAATTTGGAATGTGAAACTGAAGTGCAAGAAAACTTAAAATAATACTAGCTTGAAGGGAAGTGGGCAAAGAAAGGCTTCTTAAACGTACAATCCACCTTCCCAAACTAAGCGCTGAAAGACTCATTGAGAGATATGAACTTGAGAAAAATTGTTTCGGAGTACCAACGAGAAATCGCAATAGTGAGCTTTATAAAGCGCTATTATTGAACTTTCAAAATGTCTTATGATCCATTTTGTAGTAATAGGTCCTCAAATTAATGAAAGGTAGGAGAATCAGATAAAAGTGCCCCGATGTGTTGCAAAGAGGAGGGAAAGAAAACGACCAAAAGTGCTGGAGCAATCATGAAGAAAATAAATACTATAGTAAGTCGAATTTATTGTATCAAAAAAGATATTGTGAGTTAATGGAATAAAACACCTAAAAGGGAGTCTTGAAGTACATGATATCAGCAGTCATTACACAAAGAGCCTGAGTGGAAATTAATTAATACAAACCAAATTACAAATTGACTTGTATGAAATGTTAGACCGTAGAAAGCTATTTTGATGTGAACTTTAAATGATAGGATTGTTGAAATAAATGTATGCCACGCTTGAAATGTCATGAATAAACTATCGTTCACCTCTCTCTGAATCAAAACCTTTAGTTCAGCATCATCAACGTGATATGAATATAAAAGTTCAAATAAACACTCGTTCAAGTTAGGGGGAATAACAATAGGAGGAAAGGTGACCGAGAGAGCATACATATTGTCCAACAAAATCAAAGATGATAGAACAAAGTCCCAGTTTTAAATCAATTGGATTTATGGCAATTTCGCTTCGACATCTGATGACAGTACTTTTCTTTCGCTCTCTATAAATAATTCCCCCCCCCCTCCCCGACAGACTGGAGTTATAATTAATGAGAATCAGATTAAAAGTCATGGTGCCATGGAGTGCCATGGAGACACCCTATTGAGAAGTTAAAATTCTGCCATCCATTGTCTCGGCCAGAATTAGATAATTTAGTCGGTGACCGGAATCAATGTAAGTGCACTGATGTACAGCGATCTCGTGTGGCCTATGATTCAGAAGATGTTCACGATGAATGGCGAATTGAAATACGGTCTTGCTTAAGGTGACTATTTATAATTGAAAATGGATAGAGGGGGTTAAGCATAAAACTAAAATAGAACCCAATCCTCCGAACTTGGAAAATCCTATGATGTACGTCTCATTACAATTTTAAATAAATTTCACTCTTTTCTTTTAATTGATCATCTAGACAAAAAATAAAGATAAAACTAGGTCTTCGTTCATGATCATCAGCAACCAATCATTCTTGAAAAACGAAGCTAAAACGTTCCAAACACTTCTCAAACATTTCAAGTTCATTAATAGCAAATGGAACTCTTAAATTTTCGAAGCAGTCATTAACTTCCACACTTTTCTTTAGTTAGTGCATTGAATATTGGGAACTATTTAAAATCATTACCTTGGAACGAACAGTGAGTGATCATTTTACTGATCGAAAGGTTGAATAACGTTATAAAAATCATCGGTACAAATTCAGAGGAAGAAACAATGAAGACTTACCTTGTCAATAATAGAGGCATCCTCATCACGTTCTTGTGGGAAGAGATGTGACGGAAGATCAATAACAAACCATGGGTGTCTACGAATGTCGTCAATGCTGATTCGTTTAATGGGATCTACGGTGAGCATTTTTTTCAGGAGATCGCGAACCTGCGTGGAAAGAGAAACCGTTTTACAAGCCATACCAACAAACCGTCGTTATATTAGTATTACATTATTTTATAAGAGTAAAATTCCAAAATTGTTCAAAATTCTCTTTTCGGGATAGGGGCAGGAAAAATTACATCTGATGTAGAGTGCAATGCACGGGGACCCAGGAAAATTCAGAGAAAACACGTTTGATAATTTGACCACGTCTTTGAATGTTTCCTTAATTAGAATATATTAGATAGACAAACTAGGCACTATTGGCAGGACAAGTTAAGCTTTCGAAAACCACCACGTCTGAAAGAGTTTATCATGTGATTTTACACCCAGACCCCAGGTACCACATATAATAGAAACATTAACTAACTAATTGGAATGAAGTATCGCTAATATACGCTAGGAAGCAAACACACTTGGTCAAAACCATAAGACTGACTACTAAGAGAAGTACAAAAGGTACGGCAAGTCCCCATAAAGTTAACTTATTCAATCTTTAAGAATTAACTTCCAGATACCCAAAAAAAGTAATCATTAACAGCAACACATTAAGTAACAACACCAAGACATTCACGTTTGTTTGAAATTACAAATTCAAATCGGCCTGTAAAAATGAAGATCAACTTTTAAAGATAGCCAACATAATTTTACATAGAGTGCAGAATTTATTACAGAACCCAGTGACAAATGATTCATGCTTTTGGGAACAAGTATTAACTGCAGGACGTGGATTGGAGGAATTCGAACCCACGTCTCCCGCCACTATAAACCCAATATGCTAATTATACCGATAACTTTTATCACATCTTCACTAAGAACTTAGTGGTTAATAACAGTAAGCATTCTAAATTAAGGACTTCATTCAACATGATGTACCTGAATAATTATCTGGATACGTGAATCGCTTTGAAACCGCACGAAACCCTACCAACCTACAGAAAGTGCAAGTTAAATTTCAGCTCAATACTACCTTCATGTTCAAAGAGAGGGATTATAATTGCGGTATAGTGCAGTGTATGGACGTGATGATACAGTTACTCAAAGGAAGTGAAATATCGCAGTTAATAACTCATAAAACGGGGAGACGGAATCCTAGTAACAGATTAGCTGAGCTCAAAAACGCAATTAGACACAACTAGAGATTATTCCTCGTGATTTACCAACAACTCTAATTCGTAAAGATTAAAAGCACATGATCAAAGCATATGGAAATAGAAAAACTCAAGTTCAAAATAAACAGAATGTTTACGCTTGCACCAAGCCATTCTGGCATATGGAAATATCCAGCTTTGATTTTCTTGAAGAGAGTAGGAATATGTTCTTCGTCAAAGGGCAGAGTCCCACAAAGAAGAGCGTAGAGAATGACACCACAGGACCAGACATCAACTTCAGGACCAGCATAGAGTTTTCCAGAAATTACCTCTGGTGCAGCATAATTGGGTGATCCACAAGATGTCCGAAGAAACTCTCCGTCCTGCATAATATTTGACAAACCTGAGGACAAATAGAATAGTAAGACGACAATATTCATTTTTATTTCACTGGCAGACATTAAGCTAACCAAAGTCTGCTATTTTCACATTATGGTTGGCATCAAGGAGCAAGTTTTCAGGTTTAAGATCACGATGAACGACTTTGTGGCGGTGGCAATAATCCACGCCGGAAATTATCTGCTGGAAGAACTTTCTCGCGTCCTTTTCGCTTATTTTACCAGATTTGACAATAAAATCGAACAGTTCTCCACCGCTGACATACTCCATAATCATAAAGATATCAGTTGGGGTACTGATAACCTGAGAAATTGAGAGACTGTTATAAAAGAGCATACTTGATAAAGTTTAATGATATGGGGGTGGCGAAATAGCCAGAGATTTTGGATTTCTCGACGAAGCTTGCCGGCAACATCGAGAGCCTTGATTTTATCCCGATTGACAATTTTAACAGCGACCTGAACGCCGGTTGACTTGTGTATCCCAACTTTCACCTTCCCAAAAGTGCCCGATCCAAGAGTTTCACCGATTATGTAGTCTCCGATACGGACTTCAACTGGTGTTTTAGGAATCGAGCGTCTCGAATCAGCCATAGCAATGATAGTGATTTACAACTACAACTTCTCAGGTCAAACGAAGCCAATAGTTGGCTTAGCGGAAATATGTCCTTGAAGCAATGTAAATCATGAAGACACAAAGATTAGTTATTTTGAGAAAGATTAGTATTTTGAATTGCATAAATAAAACTATAATGAATAAAATGTCTTGAAAAGATTTGACTTAAAATAGTGAAGATTTGTGCAATTTTTCAGTTTAAATAGAAGCTGCATAAAGTAAATTAGATTAAATGAATGTGTATTCATTGCAGATTAATACTCTTACATTTTCAATTAATTTAGTCAATATACTGGGAGTGTGCCAAATATTCTTCAGGCGCCACCTAGATGAACTGATCATATTAACACTAATGGTCACATTTCACTCTTAACTATACTGTCTAAGTGGCGCTGATTGGATAGTTAAAATTGTATATTATCATGTCAAGGTGGACAAAAGCCTTCAAGATGGAATGCATGAATAATCAATCGCGAGAGCGGTAAATATTGAGCAATTTTTGATAGAGATTCATGTATCAGTGTGATTTTTACCCATTATCTCATTTACTATATAACGCAATGACGGAAAGGAAGAAGTGGTAAATATTTTGATCATAAAACCATTAAAAAGGCTATTTTTCAACCTTTAAATGTCTCGAGGCTTGAATAACATCGAAAATTTTCGTTGAGAATCGAAAAGGTATATATTTACCGGTAGAAATAAATTATTTACTCTCGCCTAATATTTATTTGTTTTAATACACTATTGAAGTGGCTCTCATACAGAAAGCCCGCATACCGCCCTTGACCCCTCGACTATCCGATACGCACAGTGTGGAGATGGCACGAAGGTTCGTTGTAAAGGCGTTTATTATTACCTTTTTTATTTCAACATACTTTCGGTTCTATTTTTAAATAGATCAGTTAAAATGGCCTTTGATTTGCATAAATCTGTTTCTGCTTCAAACCAAGATCCAATCATAATTATGCATGGATTACTTGGATGCAAGCGGAATTGGCGATCAATCGCTAGGGCCCTAAACAATAAAGGTTTTGGCAGGGTCTATTGTGTTGACGCGCGGAATCATGGAATGAGCCCTTGGTCTAATGAGATGAATTACAACTTTCTTGCCGAGGATCTTCTTGATTTTATATCTGACTTGAAATCGCCTAATGTCACATTGATCGGTCACAGCATGGGCGGAAAGGCTTCAATGGCAGCTGCTTTAATGGAGGTTTGTTAGTAATTTGGTTCAATAACATTCCTTTCAATTTAGCCGTCTATGATTCATCGATTAGTGGTCATTGATATCGCTCCACATATATCACCCAATCAGGCAAACATGGATTTGTTCATTTCTCTAATGAATCTCACGGATTTAAAAGTAAAGATGGAAGAGACTAGAACCCTTCATGGTCTTCGAGCAAGATTGATGAAAGATTGGAAAGATGTTGTTCCGGTGAGTTTATTTATTTCGGTACTTTTTATTTCTCAACTTTAGAACACCTATCAGCGTTCCTTCATTCTCACCAATCTCTGCGAAACAAATGGTGAACCCGGTTGGTCAGTAAACGTCCAAATTCTGCATAAAAATCTCCGTGATCTCTTTGATTTTCCTTATTCCCTAGAAGACAACTCTGTATCCTATAAGGACCCTGCTCTCTTCATATCAGGTGAAAAGTCAGCTTTCCTACAGTAAGTCTCTATTTGCTACCTATTCTTCTCTTCATTCGGAGTTTACGTATTTTTAGGACATAACTGACATTCTATGACCACCTCCCTGTAGATTATTATTTATACTGCGTTTGCATTGTCCCAAAGAAGAAATTGGTATACGTTAGTGAATAAAGGTAAAAATATGGAAATGGGATGAGGGTGGTAGTTTTACCATATTTTGGACAATTCTTCTCTTTGTCGAAAGGTTCATTGTTCATTCTCTTCTATGCCCTTCTCATTTCCATTCGCAGAATTTGATCGCACTCAATTAAGGGAATATAGTTTAATGTAAATTTACACTTTGTTTTAGCTTCTCTTACCGTAGTCGTGGGAGTTTGGTTAGTTTCTAGTCCTCCCATTCATACTTTTAAACTGCATCAATAGTCCATTGCTTTGAAAATCCAACGTTCTTCGTATTTGCTGAAATACCGAAAGACGAGGGATCCGCTCTTCAATTCTGTTGCATATCTTGAGAGAGGAGGAGGATATAGAGTAAAAACAGTGAGAAGAGATATTAGGGGAATTAATTGAAAAATTCGCCGAGCTTTTCCCTTTTTTCTTGTTCTTTGTAAGCCATTATGTGGAAATTACGTCGGGCAGGCCCATAAAAGTCTTGTGTGTACTGCTGATCAATGTATTCATTCCGAAATCCGCACGCTAACTCACTTTGTAATTTGAATTCCCATTAAAAGTATAAGACCTTCATAATCCCTATCTTCGATATTTAAAAAAACTTTTTGGAGGAACTATTTTCCACCCTTTCCTCTGATAATTGTTATCAATCTGTGGAAGGTCATAATAGACTAATAGCTCTATAAGAAGTGCATTTTGTACGAAATTATTCTCCTTCCATGGTGATGGAAAACAGAAGTTCTCTTTGTTTTGGTGAAATCTTAATCTAGTTCGCTTCGAACTCTATAAGTACATTTTAACTCTTATTAATTAATTAACAACGTTAGGCTTAATCGTTATTTCAAGAAGAATCAGAAAATAAATACATTTATTTTTATTATATGGCAGGCTTTATGTTGGTTATCATTAGCCCGATAATTGACTTCGAGCTTCACAGAGGGAACAGACAAATTCGCAAAAGTTGAAGGGGGATTTGGGAACAGAAGAGTGATTCACGGGTGTAAAAGTGTGACAGACACAAAGGTAGAGAAAAAGGTAAGGTGAAGTGAGGACTGCGGAATATGCATACGGTCGGTTGATGACAGTTTGATGTCAGAAGTCAACTGCTCGTTTATAGACTTTTTTAGAGTATGAGTATATGTTACCTCCACGTGGTGCACCCTGGGCAAGTCTATCGCGCACCCTAGGAAATACATTACAATATATTAATTTCGTCAAGAAAAAGTTATTTTAATTATATTTTCATCTCGAAAGTAATATTCCATGATCCTTTTAACCTTCAGACCTGAGCAAATGCCCTACGTTGTTCACTTCTTTCCAAACGCTAAACGAACGGAAATCCCTGGTGCAGGTCACTGGGTGAACGCGGATGCTCCCGAAGTCCTTACTGACACAATCAGTGACTTCATCAATCATGGCAATTGATCTCTTGTCTCAAATCCCCTCTCCGGTTTACCTATAATGTATTTGTTAACATTATTAGATGGAACTATCATTGCATTTACTTGTTCCACGACTTTTGTGACCTATAGCATTGAAGTAGGGAGTTATTACACTCTTTGTATGTATATTTTGTGATAGATTAAAGTGGATTACCTCTGGCAGTTATTTATCGTTGTTTAGTATACGGACCCATTCCATAAAATATGCCGTAGTTTGAGCAAAGCACCTAGATCCTTGAATTATGGCTGGTGTTTAAGAATTCGGCATCTAAAATGTTCTCCAATTAAAAGTTGTAAGCTATACGTACTCGTCATTAATGCTGGATACTCATTGTAGTTCCTAATCAACATGGTAATAAGAATTGTCCCCTCCATTAGGAAGCGTGATCATATAGATAAAGCTAAGTAAAATTTTAATGGTATAAAATCTGGAAATGGAGGTCCAAAGGGCATCAGGTATGCAATGAGTAATCGATCACGTAAAGGGATGACCACAGTCGGTAAATTCAGAAGAGTACTGAAGGTGGCACATCTCCTGATCTAGCCGATGTCCATTGTTCTCCTCTGCTCCATCGACACTGTGGAAATTGGTACGTATAGGCTGGCATAGCTGTTAGCTTTATTTTAGTAGCAACTTGCTTGGTGGCTTAAATCTCACTGGAGGATGGATAACTCCATAAATGGCGGTTGATGCGACCCGCCACTGCCATGACAGAGTTATGCAAGCGTGAACTAGGGCCTTTCCAACAAAAGAAGCATCCATTGTTCTGCAACTGAATGAATTGTGGGAAGACAACTTGAGATCATGGAAGTCTTCTCAAAGAAAAGACTTAAAAAACCCCATCCGCTTCCTCTCCTTTAACCAAATCACATGAGCTTAAAATCCAGAAGCTAACGAAAGCAGATTAGACCATGCTTAATTAGGTAAGGAAAGGTAAAGCTTTGAATGAAGGAATATAGTTCCTTTCAGAAGAGGGCAAATGTCCCACATGAATTTATTAACGACATTACCGACAATCGAGGACTAGAAGAATACTTAAGATCTTCACTTAATTCGAGACTTTTGCGAAATAATAAACGAATAAATTAAACTTTGTACTTCAACAAAGATAAGGACAGATAGACACAAGGAATGGAAAGTTATTCACAGCCAGAGTAGAAAAGAAAAAAACAAACATAAAGAAAAAAGTATACTCAAAAGTTGGATTTGAATCCCTTGATTTCATTCATAATTTGGTGGATGGAGACAAGCTGATTTCTCACCGGCATCGTCTTGTAGGGTGGAAGGGTCATCACTTTCTGAAAACGATGGTATACTTGAACCAGTTGAGATAGCAATGCCTAAAATTTCGAAAAGGACGAATTTACTGGCCCACAAGACTCAGTAGACTATTGCACCATGAACTATATAAAAGACCCAGTCCACTTACGTGGAAAATTTGAGTACCAAGTGTGAAATTTGCAAACTCGAGCATAATTTCACCATTGATTTTTTCGATCGAGTTTTTCCAGTCGATATTGAATCCCTTGACTACTCTGGTGACAAGTCCTTCTTCATTTTGGTCCACGCTCTCAGTGGGACCGCGTTTCTCGACCATTTGAATGAAGTTGATCATGGTGCCAAAGTAGGGTATGAGGGCTTGGTCGATATAGGCTGTAGTGTACATTCCGATGGCTTCTTGACATTGATTAACTTCAGGCGAATTATTGGCACCCTTTTCCTGGAAAATTCAAAACATTACACTTGAAATGGCATATTTCGATAGCTTTTAAGGAAGAAACTCTGGAATATTAAACCATTCCTAGATTCTTTCTAGAAGTGAAGCACTTTAGAAGCTTTTTAAAATATTCCTGCAATTTACCAGTTCTGTATTCTAATTGCTATTCACATGTTAAATATTTACTAAAATTATTCCAAAGTAAGTGAATCTTGTACCTGCTAAATGGGAAGCCTATCCCAAAAACAACGGATCCTGCTTGAAATCTGGACTACAAGGTATTTACACGGCGAATATATCGAATCTAGTAACCTACCGAGAGAACAGTGACAATGAGATCAAAGTTATTAATGAGGAAGACAAGTCGAAGACGGTTGCGTGGAAGAGTTTTGGCTAGGCGATAGCAAGTAGCCTCGAATTCCTTGTGCATTTTTGACAGGGCCAACACAACCCGATCGTCCAACTTATGTCCAACCGTTTGACCCACCGTCACACTTCCATCCTCGTTAGTTTCTGTAATAATGTAAGCATTAGTAAGAAAAAAAATAACATCACACTTCTAGATTGATCTCCAGGAAAAGTTTACAATTGTACGAAATAATATAACCCGAATTCTTGATTCTATAGTTCGTAAAGTAGTGAAATTTGCTTCTCTAGATCGAAAGTTCATGTTTTTACAATTAACTTAAGTCCCATCATTCCGTAAGATAATCATAGGAATCTGAAATCTGAAAAATATGTTAGATCTCCTAAAAAAGGATAGATTTGATTTTGTTCATATCCCATCCCTCCATAATCATTGGCTAAAGAGGGATACAGAAAAATTTGCTGTCGTGAAGTCAACTCGAAACAACCATTTTGCCAATCAACGCAGATTAACAAAAAGATTAAATTAGAGAAGAAATTGGTACTTTTTCTTCAGAGCCTATTATCTTGCAAGAAGGGATAAATGGAAAGATTTTTCTGGCCAAATTTTAGCCGTCTTCAAAAAGAGGTGCTGTGATGGGAGTGTACCATCATCATCAAGCGTTCTGATATCTGAGACATTTAAGGAAAGGTCTGGTTAACGACAAATGAAATTAATCCGTAATGAATTCCTAGATATATTTAGTTAAGATCGTCAAAGGGTAAAGCAAAATCATAATCCAAACTGATGTGTAGATGTGAAGAAATGAAAGAAGATGCACTATGGACTGGAACTTGAAATATGGCGGAAAATGGCCATTATTTTGGCTCAGTGTTACTACTGTTCGAACAAATGCCAACAGATAACAAATAGGCACCTTAAACAATTGTTCCTTAAGCTCTTAAAAGGTGTTTTCTAGAAGGAAAATGAAACATTCCAAGAGATATCGACAATTATCCACACTTCGTGTGGCATTTACATTTTTCCATAAACCTGTAAATACACCTCGATATTGAAATAGACTCACCTGGGATAGACAGCGCACCACCAATTGAATGCAAACTGGCGGCAAGTTCAGCATATCGACGAGCCACAGGGTGCGGTCTGATGAGACTGTAAGCTCGAGGTGAGAGATTTGACACCCCAACAGCCTCATTTACACTATTTCCATGTTTCGAGCGCAGATGCAAAGCTGCAGCCTGGGCGAATTGGGCCGTGTCCAATGCCCGGAGGGAAGTGATATGAGCCTCCATACGATCCAGCACACCACTCCACATCGTATCTAGCTGACCAGACCAGTAGCTAAAAAAATTAATAGACAACAACTTTATTGAGCCTTGAATGAACGTTAAAAGTAGTACATTCAAATAAAGTTCTTGTATGAAAAAAGTCTCAATTTTATAAATCAGAAATTGTAATAGCAGATTTTTAACCATGATCCTTGCTTTCTCTCACCTTTCATTACTAAACAATAAGAGTAAAGAATTTTGGTTTAGTTCCAAGTTTTTTTAACTATGTGACAACCAAATCTGTCATGCGTAAAGGAAAGACCGAATAAATGGCAAATGTGCACATAGGATTTATCTCGGTGAATTGATAAGAGATAACATCAAAAAGATAGCCTTCGTAAGACACATTAAGGTAACACAGGAATGTGACGAATTGATCATGTTAATTAATTGACAGTAATATGTCTGATTCGAAAATTTATTTACAAATAATTATTCTCTACTTCGTTAATTATAAGTTATCATTTTGGAAATAGCATGTTACTTTGTCTCGGTAATAATATTACACATTTTAATCTATTTAATAGCGCACATTGAAATATCTATATGTACTAACCTATCTAGTACTGGTACTCCACGTTCCTTCATCAGGTCAATCATCAAATGTGTAAGCTGAATGCTAAGTAGAAGACCCAACAGATCGTATTGTCCAAGATGAATCAATTGAGGCATAATAGAACTTTCCAGCGCTTCAACAGTTCGACCAAAAATTTTATCAAACAGCGACGCAGCAACTTGTTCACTACTAGGGGCATTGTTTGACCCCAACAAGGATGAACCAAAACTGTGTAGAAAGAAATCTCCCAAGAAGACATATTCCCTGCAGGCTGTATCTAAGACGGCATAGTTAATGGATCGATAAACCTCCTCAACTAGGTATTTGGCTTCATTTTTCGACGCAGCGTGAGGCAGAAGGATGGCAGCTTGAAGACCTTCCCGTGTAAGAAGGCGTTCAGCACGATCTCCAAGACCAAATTGGCCTGGACGAGACGTGGGTTGGGTCGAGGCGTTTGAAGATGTACTGGAAGCCCCAGACTGGGCCGGATTTTGGTTCCAGGTATTCATCTCATCAGATTTCTTCCCCACGAGCTCATCCTTTTCTAAAGAGCTGTCAGCCTGAAATTATCCAAAAAAATTAATATCAGCCATACTTTCAATATTCAACAAGCTGCTATTACTTAATTTATTCCGAGTCAAAAGCAACTCCAACGGATTTCATCAGGAAATATTGCATTTAAGCATTAGAAACAAACTTAAATTGTGAACTACGACGTATCATTTTATTTTCTTATATTGAAACCTGTCGATTTACAAAATACTGGTTAATTAAATTCGATGCGGCGATTGAAGATGATAAGACAGTTCTACCACAACTAAAAAATGACCGAATCCAAATTCTTCAGTTGCAAAGCTTGATTACAGTGGATTGATGAAAGTTGCCCGCCCTAGGTATGATTACAACGTTAAAAATAGTACAATATAGAAATAAGAGACACTCCAAGTACCTCAACTCTTATGAAAGAGGAAACATTATGGATAAAAGGGTATTTAGGTAACTTTGAAAAAAAGCTGACATTCAATCTCAATAATCCTGCAACACGACAGCGTTAATGCCAAATATGAACCGTCTACTCAATACCAGCTCTTAAATAGGCGGTTTAACGGATCAACGCACACGTGTGCACACCCAGTTATGAAAAGAGTTATCAAGTAAAACGGCATCTCAAGAGTGGGGATATTAAATTCTAATCATAATCCGACTAAACGCATAAAATAACTGTGGGAAAAACACTCAAAGACATAAATTCCTGTGTTAAAATAAAACGAATTCATGCATCTAGTAAATTTACTGTAGCAAAATAGCCTTGTTTTAATAATGCGATTACAATGCACATTTACCTGAAGTTTAAGTAACTTTGCGGCGTAGGTTTTGAAATAGGCAAAGTAAACTTTATCCATCGTTGAGAGATAATTAATTCGAATTTCCCGGGCTACCTCTCTTTCATGAACGAGAAGAAATTTGTAGAAAAATCTAAAAAAGCATAATAGATAAAAAAAAAGTGAAGACTACCTATATCGAAGAAGCTGCGACTGAAGAACCTGATAGTTGGCCATGGGCTTGCGTAAAGCTCTAATTTTCTCCATTAGGAAGTCGCGAATTCGTGTTATGGACTTAAAAGTGAAATAAAAGTAACAATTGAGCAAAATAAAATTGAAAATATGGCTTTATCCAGGAATCATACCTTGATCTTTAACTTGGTCAAAAGCGAACCGATATCTTGACAAGCTGGATAATCCATAGCACCATATTCAGCAAGAATATTCAGCTTATGATCCAATTCATGTAAATTGTCTACGAAATCTTGTTCAGTGACCGGAGTCAAAAGTATATGTCTATACGATTAAAAAAACTTATCGTAATTAAAACACAAATTTGGATAAACGACAACGAATTCAAGTTACTGGATAACTGTATCAGAAACAACTACATCTGATAGAAATTGACTCAGTTCCCCTCGAACGGCCTAATGGATTAAAAATTGAGGGAATATTTTTAAATGGTCTTTGCAAATCAAAAAAATTTTGAATGAAAATACCTGGCGATTCTGAAGCTTTTGCTGCATATTCAATGACTGAATTTGTAGATCTTGTATATCAGAACTAATATTACCAAGATCTCGGTGAAAATTTGCTAGGATCGTCTCCATGTGCTACAAAATAAACAAGGAAAATAGAAAATACCTCTAAAGTCTTGCAACAAGTTGATATTTTCTCATGTAATCCAGTCACGTTCGGTCCCATTCGAACATCTTAACATAATAAGTGAAAAATGCCTTACAGGAAGAAATGGCAGACGCCTCTAAGCTTTTCAGTTGTTCTTCTACGCGTTTTGAGTATTCTCTTAAGTCAACATCCTAAGCAAAGGCTAGTGTAAAAGACTAAATTACGGATTCTAAAACCGAGCTTGAAATTTCACCCTTCAAAATGTTCGTTTCGTCATTGTTAGTAGTTGATGATGAGCCCGAATCATCACCAGGACTTTCAGCTGTGACAACATCCATCTTTCGGACTGGGACATCAAGGTCGTACGATTATTATTTATTCTACAATCAAAGGCGTCATAAATTGCGTAAATTAATAGGCAGTATCCAATGAGGATTTTTAATTTAATTTTATTTATATTTTTAGTTCTGCTATTTATATATAATTGTTATTGAATGTCATACAAAGATTTTTTATCATGTTTATACGAATCAGTTTTGTCCTATTTTATTTTGGGTAAAAGTTAGAAAAAAAGTTGTTTAACTCTATTAGCTATGAGTCCAAGCTGCTCTATTATCGACCAACCTTTCAAATATTTCATTCTAAGTGCATATGTCAGCATTAAGTCTTTTCAGTGGTGCTCTCTGTCTCGTAATCCATTTAATTTCTTGCCACTCGTCTATCCAAAATCTATTTCTTTAAGCAGGAAATATTGGATTATTATTAAAAACTCAACAAAAATTTGCTCAAATATTTCTTTCAATAAGTCAGTATGATTGAGCATGGATTTAAGCAAATAATAACTAATACGTTTATTCCAAATCCCACGAGACAAATATTCAGTCAAAGACGGATATTTCAATTCTTGGGAACTCATCCTTAGATGAATGAAAATGCGAATAGGGGTATCTGATATATGTTTCCAATCGTTAGCCTTGACTTGATGATTAAATTAACTTATTTATAAACGGTAATATTAGATGCACGTAATCTAATTTTTCCATACATCCCATTCTAAAATATTGCATTCTTGCAAAAGAATAATTTTTACAAATTAAATTTTCGAGTCTGGCAATAATCTATTTTTCAGACATGGATTTTGTTCATACATTGAAATTTAGCAATATTCGTCTGCCGTTTCTTGAAGCTTCAATAATAATTTCAATCTTGGAATGAAAAACTGGATATAAGCTTTATCCTGTCATAAGTTAGCATGAATATGAAAAAATTAACTAAACTAATATTGTCAAAGATAGTTTAGTTACTAGATATATTGGAACATCCTGTATTACTAATGATCATCATGTTCATTCACCTTGGAAATAATTGAAGCAAATGGACTCAAGGTTATTTGCTGAAATATCACATCAGTGGAATTATGTGCACTTTAACGCTATTAATAATGAACATTTGTTTATTTCAAATAGCAGGCGTTTTGATATTTGTCATTAGCATTTAGCTGACTTTGGACTTCACAGAGGGGAAGAACATCAAAGTGAGAAAACTTAGAGGGGAGTAAAGTGGAGGAGGGACATGAGTGATTCACAGATGTTAAAGCGAGTATACGCTGCCAAGGGTGCACCACGTGTAGGTAAGTTCATCCTACACGCCGAAAATGTTCTCGCGGGGCACGCGACACACTGGGCCTGGCCGGGATTTGAACCCGGGACCACTCGCACCCTAAGCGGGTATCATACCCCTAGACCACCAGGCCGATGTCCTTTAATGAACAGAACACATTTTGGTGTTATATACATGCTTTCTGAATTTTATGTCAATCAGTTAAAAAACACTTCCCCGTTGGAAATATATCGTTACAATTTATTTTTTATTTAACTGGCATTTTTCTGCCTGTGATTTCAGGTATATTGAACAAATATGTTATGTTAATGTTATTGTGTGTGAAATTTCAATGTGGTTTTATTTGAAGTTGATAGCTGCATCACTTAATCTTTATAATCACGAAAATTCACGAAATGCGATCTCAATGTTGATGAATAAAGGTAATTACTTTTAAATTTTTGTGTGCAATAACAATAGAAAAATGAATGCTTCACATCAGTGTACCTCAATTATCTTCATCGTCTGTTTAAAAGAATATTTCAAGACTTTTCCCAAAGATCTTGAAATTTAGTCTGCTGCTCGAGAAGTGAAATAAGAAATGAGTTAGAACTTCGAATATTGAAAGTACATCAAAGGGCATCTATTTCCAATACACCTGCGGGAATGCAATCATTCTGAAATTTCTATGATAAGATATTACAACTAGTTTTATCAATAAAAATCCACTCTGAAGTATTCATTGCAAGATTTCTTATGCATTTGTGTAATTATTTGAAATAAAAATCATTAACTATTTACTACTCTATATATAGGCAAGAATGGGAATGGGAGATAACCTGTCTTTTTTTGCTTTTCAAAGTTTACTTTATTGGGATAATCACTCAGAATTATCATCATATGTGAATGCTGTCCATTGAAAGGGGGAAGTTGTTCAAGGAAGCAAGTGAGAAAAAAGGATTTCCATCGCGCATTTTGGCAAGTGCAAGGACGGTCATGAGTGCAGAGAATCCATAACAAATTAACCACTGCTGTTAATTTAAAGTAGCGTTAAATATATTTGTCTATCGGTCATGCTCGGTTAGTCATATTTTATTTATTTCAAATGGCAGGCGTTTTGATAGTTATCATTAGCCATTTAGCTAACTTCAGGCTTTACAGAGAGGAGGAGAAGGAATATCCAAGTGACAAAAAGTCGAGATGAGGGACAGACTAATGATTAACAGATGTGAAAGAGTCAGACAGACATAAAGGCAGGGAAAAGGTAAGCTGAGTACTGTAAAAGTGGTGCAATAAGATAAATAGTGAGGTGATGGTAGTTTGAAGTCAGAAGTCAACTTCCAGTTAATAGACTTTTTTGCCGTATGAGTATACGCTGCCCAGTGCGCACCACGTGGAGGTAAGTCTATCGCACACCCCCAGTTAGTCATATAAGTACATTTAAAATCTCTTTACCCTATTCGCTCTGTGCTCTCGCTGCTTTGGTCGTAGCCTAGCTAAGCAAAGATTTATAATAGTAAGTTGGATTTTCTGGGTCTGGTTGGACTTCCTAGAGGATTTCTGAGGTTTAGTAAAACATTTTTTTAGAGTATCTTCTGCTTTAAATGTAAGCGATTTTACTGAGCACTAGCAACCACGGTTATTTCGTTACACATATGCTCATTTTACCATGAAACGTTTGAGAAA